CGCTTGGCAAATTCCAAGCTTCAGGAGAGTGTCACCTCCCTCAAAAAGCAGAATCAACTGCTAGCCCAAAGACTCGCCGAGCAAGATCAAAAGATCTCGCTCTTGCTCTCTGCCGTCGCCGAGATACACAAGCAAGCCCCCCCAAAAGCCCCCAGCAGCCACCCAGCCGAAAAGATGGAAGTCGACCACTTCCCGCCCCTGAAAGCCAAGCCAAGGCTCAATATCCCCAAAACATCTACCCGGCACTCCACGAGCACATGGTCCAGCATGCGCAAGCCCCCCAACCCGCTAAAGCCCCTCAGGCTGCCCCAGCCCTAGCCGTCACTTCGGCACCCCAGCCCTCAGGCCCTGCCACCACTTCGGCACCCCAACCCCCCAAGTCCGCGATTCCTATCGTCATCAGGAACACTGCGGAATGGACTAAGGCCAGAAATCTTCTTGCGCAAAACAATTGCACCTTCACTAACCCCAAAAAAGTAGCGTTGGACATCCAAATCCACCCCAAAACTACAAATGACCACAGAGCCATCACCAAGCTTCTCGCTCGAGAAAAAATTGAGTTCCATACTCACACCCTCCTTGAAGACAAAAAGTTGATCGCCATTGTCAAAGGGCTTCACAACCAAATGGCACTTCCCGAAATTCAGGCTGAACTTGAAGAACTAGGCTTCACCCCGTCTGAAATCCAATTCTACAGAATGGGTAACCGCAAAACCGCGACCAATATGGTCAAAATGCTCCTCCCAAAGGAACAAACCAGCATCTTTGAGGTCAAGTACCTCCTAAACCTCTCAGTAGCAATCGAACCCCAAAGGCATCCCCAAACAAACATCAGGCACATTCCTCAGTGCAAGAGGTGCCAAAAATTCGGCCACACATTGGCAAACTGCATGACAAAACCCTTCTGCCACAAGTGCGCCCAACAGCACTTCTACACAGAATGCAAAAAGCCGAGAGACATCCCGGCTAAATGCATAAACTGCGAGGGTCCCCATCCGGCAAGCTACTT